TCTAAGCCTTGATGAAAAACAGGATTTGGTCAGCACGGGTTTAAGAGCTTGAAGGGTTACAGCCAGATCTACATTAACTCCAGTTCTGGCCTGAATTTCCAAATGCAAATACATTCCAAATGTAAAGGACAATGCTCAAACTAAATAAACCTGAGCTTTGTTGACTACATTCACGGTTTTTTAAAATCAGAAATTTTAACATGCCTCTCCATTACAAGTGTAGTAAACAAACCACATTAACTATTACTAATGCAATCATTTTGGTAACTATTTGTTCCTTTGTAATACTACGAATTCTACTGTTTGTATTTACAAGTATTCTGTGAAGTTCACAAATCATAGTACCCAAAAAGGTCTAGGCCAATGGTACCAAAAGGCTTATAAGCCCTTGAGGAAAATACAGGAGAAAATGTTTCTTTGCTTTGCACTGAGGTAGGAGAGGAAAATAGGCTTGAAGCCCATGCTTCTGAAGATCTTCAAAGACAAAATTTTGGGTCTTCTGGAAATTTGGGCGGTAGAGATTTAAAAAAATTAATGGGAAATTTCAGTTACTGAGAAAACAAGATAGTCAAAGAAACAAATCAGGACAATAGCAACAATAAATGAATAACCATCCAAGTTGTACGCATAGAAAGATGCTGACTTCAGCTCAGGTCATGATCTCAGTGTGTGAGTTCGCCCTACATCTGGCTCTGGGCTGTCAGCACAGAGCCCTTTCAGATCCTCTGTCCCCTCTGCCACTCCCCCACATGTGCACACTCTCTCTCTCTCAATAAATAAGATGGTACCTTAAGTTCAGCATTACTCTCTGCATTTTTAAGCATGTGCAGTAAAAATTCAGCACTCTTTTTGGGCCACCGACCCTGTGTCCAGCCCCACTGTTTGGCCTGAAAAGAATCCAAGAGAGGCTATGTTAGTCATTTCCCCTTATTTTAATTAGTGTTATAACCAACATCTTTTTAAAGTCCAACATCCAGGTTGCTCAGAACAAAGTTTTTTTTCATGGTTAATCCAAAGGTGTCCTAAGATAGTCATCACAGCAACCAGAAAAAAACCTGATTCAAGGCAGATCCTAACCCCAACCAATCACTTTCCATTACAAAGTCATTTCAGATAGCAACTCTGAGCTCTTACCTGGGCACACCTACCAACTCCACCATTGTAGCGTCGGAATGGAACACATTGCTTCTGCAAAGTGACATCTTTAAGATACTTGGTGGCTTTTCGGATATGCATACCCTTGATGGCCTGGGCAGTTTCACGTGTGTTCTAAGTATATACAATATAAACTGTGACTCAACAATGTGAAAAGATAACAATTTTTTAAAGTAAACATTCAATTCTGTTTTTCAAAATGTTAACATATGTTGACAAAAAACTTCCTGTTCTTTAAAGGGGAGGTAATAGGAGAAAAACATATGTGAATATTAAAAGTCAGGGAGACTTGGTTGGAAGTTAGGGAAAAAGGAATCCCAAATTTCTATTAAGTATAATAGGTTTTATTTTATCTAAAGAAATTTTTTTTAGGGGTGCCTGGGTGGCTCAGTCTTTGTTTCAGCCCAGGTCATGATCTCATGGTTTTTGAGTTCCAGCCCCACATTGGGCTCTGGGCTGACAGTGCGGAGCCTCCTTGAAATTCTCTCTCTGCCTCTCCCTCCCTCACCCTCTCTCAAAAATACTTTAAGGTTCCAGGCTCTGAGCTGTCAGCACAGAGCCCAATGTGGGGCCTGAACCCGGGAACTAAGACGTCATGGCATGACCCAAAGTCAGGACACTGACTGAACCACCCAGGCGCCCCCCCCAACTACGTTTTAATTCCACAGTCTTGTTACCATGTAAGTGTCCTGTATCTTGATCTCTACACCAAGTTCTCCAGTACCTCTCTGGTAATCTCCCACAATTCCACAAATCTTAAAGTGCTCATTATACAAATGATCATTACAGACTCAATGTCTCCAAGGTGACTGCTCAGAACTGATTCATTTTCATGGCAAATCCAAAGGTGTCCTAAGAAACGCATCACTGCAGCCACCTCTTTAGAAAGGTAAATTACACAACGTGTTTTTTAAACACAACCCTTTCAGAACACAGAAGAGGATTCACGTACCTTAAAGTGAACACGAAGATTTGAACCTCTTGATTTGCATGCTAAAGAATAATAAAAAAGCTCTGGTTAATTTGGGGGATCGTATTGTTCCTCTTTACCCCCAAACCAGGAATTGAGATCTCCTGTTCACTTACATTTTGTCGGGTTTTCCGGGTCAAGTGAATAGCGAACCATTTTCAGAGATCACCTGGAACGGAGCAGGAGGTAAATGTCAACACACATTTACAGTCACCGATGCAGTTTAAGTAAATGCTACCGACAGCCGCTCAGAAAATAGTTGTTTTCATGGTTAATCCAAAGGTGTCCTAAGAAATGCCATCATCGCAGCCATCCTTTTCTCCAGAGCTTTCTTCCCCGCTGTATTTAGTAGGCACTCGGACCCCATGGGCCCTTTTACTCTCCGAAGGAAAACGTGGCCAGTCTCCATCCCACTCTGGATCCCGCAAGGGTATAAGGCTTCTACCTACCGGCAGCGCAGAACGCTCCCTCCCCATGGAAGGTAAATGCCGTCTTCCCAAGTGCTTTTGGGCTACTGCATTAAGCACCATCGAACTCATCCCAACGGATAAAGCCTCAATCAACGCAACTTCACTTTTATTCCCCCAAAATTCTACCGTTGCAGACGCACACGCGCCGCGTCTCGACCAGCACTCACCTCAAGACACTGGCTCTCGGGAGTCGGAAACGGCGACTACAGGCCGCCGGTACCCATTCCACCCCCATTCCCGCCCATCCCGGCCTTCTTCTCGGACACGTCCCCCTGCACAAAGTGACAACGCTTTCAGCGAAGATTCAGTAGCCCCAGGAGCCTTCCTCCCGGGGGCACGGACATCGGCAACACCGAGGCCAGGATGGCGGCGATAACTGAAGGATTGAGCTCTCGGAGAGAGATTCCAAACAGTCACTCACCTCAGGCCGCTCACGGGAAGAGGAAGAGCGGTGGCTCCTGGGAGAATTCATGCAAAGGCGATCTCTCGCGAGATTTCCAGCCTGAAGAACGTGATTTGAAGAGAGGCGGAGCGCTATGGGAAAGGGACTGTGAGACATATTTTAGAAGATCTGGAAACGAATTGCCGTCTTAGGGAGTGTCTCAAAATCCTCCTTTTTTGGTATCCAGAAATAAAGTTCTGGATTTTAAATATCAATCAATTAAAAACAAGTCTGTAATTCTAGCACAGGATCACGTATTATTAGATATAGATGAGACATTTCTTCATCAACATTTGTTAGATTTGATTATGTGATCACCAACCCCTAAAAGTGGTAGGTAAATGGACAGTTAAGAAGATGCAAAGGATGGGATGTAATTATGGTAATCAGAAAATTCTCCGGAGGGGAATATCACCTAATCAGTTGTACTGAATAGTGCCACTTCTAGGTCTTCTTCTGATGCAGAAAAACCCTTGGGCACTATCCTCTCTTTCTTAGACTTCACCCAAGTCATCTATCTGGTTATTCCCTCTCAGCCATTGGTGGTGTTAGCACTTAGCTTTGGGTCTTCTATTTGAAAGCGCCTTCACTCCAGGCAAATTTGAACTGTAAGTGAAAGAACTCTGGATAATTCTGTAAGAAGTCTTGGTTCCTTGACCTCAATTCCAGGGACCTCAATCCTAGGTCCCTCTCCTAGAATCCACTCCCGTTGCCAGATGATGGATTCCACCGTCTTTCCTCTGTAACTCCCATCCCTCACATGGCTTCCAGCAGAGGCTGAGAACACCCAAACTAAGGTTTCCACTGCACATCTCTTGCCTGATGTAGCCCCAACTATCAAACAACTCTCTGGACATATTTCCCAGCAGGTCTGGGAGTCAAATACTTGAAACCTAAAGTGCCCTTATCGTTCAAGTCTCCTGGAATTATATCTTTTTTAAAAATTTTTTTTAATGTTTTATTTATTTCTAGGAGAGAGAGAGAGAGACAGCGTGAGCAGGGGAGGGTCAGAGAGAGAGGGAGTCACAGACTCTGAAATAGGCTCCAGGCTCTGAGCTGGCAGTCAGCACAAAGCCCGACGCGGGGCTCGAACCCACGAACCGCGAGATCATGACCTAAGTGAAAGTCGGACGCTTAACCGACTAAGCCACCCAGGCGCCCCTCCTGGAATTATATCTTGAAGCTTGATTACATTTAGTTCAATACCCGGGGCAAGAAAACTTCATAGGTGATATTGTGAGGATGGTATTTCCCATTGCACACAATTTCATCTGATTGTCTCATTTTTACTGATGTTAAGATGGGTAAGTGAGTTCAGGACTTGTCAGTCTTATCTCTTCTTTATAAAATTCGACATCAGCTGTTCACCTAATGGCTTTAGCAGCAGCTGTTGGAATTCTTTACCTAGATCCATTATTTCAGCTGGAGTTAAAAATGGTGCCCCCCACCTCAATTCTATCAGCGTTTTTTAGCCGGACTTGTGTAAAAAAGAATTTTCCCTCTTTCAATTATTTGGTTATCTTGAAATATAGTTCATATAGGAAAGGCAGGATAAAACATAATTTTCCCCTTTATTTATTGACTTTCAGAAAAATGAGCTGGTCTCCTCAAAGATTTGCCAAAGGTGACTGATTTGGATTTTTATAGATCAGCTTCACTTGGGTATACTTTATATATAATAAAATCCCCCCAATATTTTAGCATATAGTTTATTGTTTTGACAAATATATACAGTCATATGGACACCACCATGATCATGATGTACAACATTTCCATCATCCCCAAAAGTTCCTTCCTGCCTCTTCATAGCTGGTCCCCTTCTCCCACCCATGGGACCCAACAGCTATTGATCTGCTTTCTGTCACTATAGTTTTGCCTTTTCAAGAATATCATGTAAGCGGAATCATACAGTATGCAGTGTTTTGCATCTGGCTTCTTTCATTTAGAACGATGCTTTTGAAATTCACTTAGACTGTGTCAGTCTAAGTTGCATGTATCAGTAAGTCATTCCTTTTTGTTACTGAATAGAATTCCATTCAACAGCTATATCACAATTTATCAGTTCAGCAGCAGACAGACATTTGTGTTGTTTCAGGTTTTTGGCTCTGATGAATATAACTGTTGTGAACATCTGAGTGCAGATTTTTGTGTGGATGTGTGTTTTCATTTATCTCATGCAGATACCTAGGAATGAAATTACTTGGTTACATATTCATGTTGAATTTTTTAAGAAACTGTTTGCCACTGTGCCTGTACATTTTTGATATTCCCACCGGCAGTGTATGAGGGTTCCAGTTTCTTTATGTCCTTGCCCACACTTGGTATTGGCTGTCTTTTTAATTATTGTCATTGTAATGGCCATGTAGTGGGATATCATTGTCGTTTTGATTGCATTTCCCTAAAATCTAATGATGTTGAGCATCTTTTCACATGCTTATTTGACATTCAGCTTTCTGAAGTATGTGTTCAAATCTTTTGGCCATTTTAAAATGGATTATTTGTCTTCTTATTGAGCTGTAAGAGTTATTTATTCATGCTGGATACAAGTGCTTTATCAGCTTTGCAAATATGTCCTCCCTGGTTCTGACTTGTGTTTATTTTCTTAATAATGCCTAACAAAGTGCAAAAGTTAAAATTATTTCCTCCTTTAAAAAAAAAAAAAAGTGTTTATTTTAGAGAGGTAGGGGGAGAGGGGCAGAGGGAGACAAAGAATCCTAAGCAGGCTCCCTGATCAGCATGGAGCCTGACAGCGGTCTCCATCCCTCAACTCTGGGATTATGACCTGAGGTGAAATCAAGAGTAGGACACTCAGGGGCGCCTGGGTGGCTTAGTCGGTTGGGCGTCCGACTTTCGCTTAGGTCATGATCTCGCGGTTCGTGGGTTCGGGCCCCGCGTCGGGCTCTGTGCTGGCTGCCAGCTCAGAGCCTGGAGCCTGTTTCAGTCTGTGACTCCCTCTCTCTCTGACCCTCCCCTGCTCAAGCTGTCTCTCTCTCTCTCCTAGAAATAAATAAAACATTAAAAAAAAAAAAAAGAGTAGGACACTCAACTTATTGAGCCACCCAGACACCCCACAAAAGTTTTAAATTTTAATGAAGTCCAATGTATTGATTAAAAAAAAATTGTGAGTTTGGTATCGTATCTCAGAAATCCTTGCCTATCCCAAGGTAATTATTTCTTTCCCATGTTTTCTAAGCTCAACTCAACTCAACTAAAACAAAAAGTTTTAGTTCTTACATTTGGGTTGAATTAATTTTTGTAACTCAATTTCATTTGAAGTAAGGCTCTAAATTAATCTTTTTTCATGTGTATATTCAATTTTTCCAGCACCATTTGTTGAGAACACAGTCTTTCTTTATTGAACTGCTGTGGCACTTTTGTTGAAAATCAATTGATGGGAAAGAGGAGGATTTCTGTCCCATTGATCTATTTGATTATCTTTGTATCAACATGTCACTGTCATGTAACTTTAAAGCCAACTTGAAATCAACTAGCACATGTTTTCCAACTTTATTCTTTTTCGAAGTTGTTTTGGCTTTTCATATAAATTTTAGGATCAGCTTGTTAATTTTTACAAAACGGCTGCTGGGATTTTGATACGGATTGAATTGAAGAGGTAATTAAAGTAAATTGAGTTTGTATAGATGATCAGTATGAGGCCTCAGAAGAACCTGGACACCTTGATCTTGGACTTCTAGCTTCTAGAACTGTAAGAAAATAAATTTCTGTTTAACCTTGCTCATCTGTGGTACTTTATTATGAAAGCCCAGGCATTCCAATATACCTTCCCTCCCCAGTAACTCCCAGTTCCCTACTTCCAAGGCTTCCATCAATACCAGTATTATATCCTCCAGAAAAATTCTGTGAATTACAAACCCTCCCAAAAATAGTATATTGTATACAATCTTTTGCATCTTGCTTTATGTTTATCTTTGTTTATTTGAGAGAGAGAGAGAGAGAGAGAGAGAGAGAGCACAGGCAGGGCGTGGGTGGGTACAGAGAGAGGGAGACACAGAATTTGAAGCAGGCTCCAGGCTCTGAGCTGTCAGCACTGAGCCAGACACAGGGCTCAAACCCAGGAACTGCAAGATCATGACCTGAGCTGAAGTCAAACACTTAACCAACTGAGCCACCCAGAATGACATCTCTCATACTTGGTGTTGTGACTGGATGCTCTACATATGCTACCTTCTGGAAACTCCTGAGTAGATGAGGTAGATGTCCCAGACTGGGCTTCCCAGAAAGCAGAGTCCGAGATAGAGATTAAGTAGTGCTCATGGATTCAGTATTCTGGAAAGGAGACAGGACTGATCAGAGGGTCAAGTTAGGCTGTGGTGCCGTCCCAGTGAAGGTATTAGCCAGCACCTGCTCCTACCTAGGAAGCCTCTGGAGTTGGTTATTCCTTCCAACTGGTCCCAACTTGTCCCAACTTGGGTGGGGGCTGGGCCTCTGTCCCACCCATGGATCAGTCACTGGATGTGGGCTTCTCCAGGAAGGAGATGTGAGGCAGTTGTCATCAGCTAATCCTCAGAGATGACTGAGATGACAAGGGACTGACGGTACTCCTGATGGATGGAGAAAGTCCTTCACTTCTGAACAGAGACAAGGAAGGCACATCTCAGGGTCCACCACAGCAGGCACTATTATTTCATTTTACAGATAAGAAAAGCAAGGTTCAAAGGGACAGGGCTGGGATTTGAACCCAGATCTATGCTCCACACCTGTGTTCTTTCTCACCATCCTTGCTGCCAGTTCTGCACATTCCTGTCTTCCTGACTGCCTTCCAGTGACCTCCAGGTTTCCTGGTGACCCGTGGCTCACCGTGGCTGGCCTCACTTTCCCCTCCTGCCTCGGGGCAGCCTATCTCTTGCCTGGTTGTGAAGCTTCACTCCAGCTTTTGCAAGGCTCTCCAGGGCTGGGCTCACACTCCCACCTTCTCAGAATGCTGTTGCTTGCATTCATCAGGAGGGCCCCAATGAAAGCAGGCTGAGGAGGATTATTCTGGCTCTGAGATGCTGGGTGGACTGGGGAGGTCAGGAACCTGGGACTGGATCGTGGCAGAGCCCCAGAAAAACCAGCAGATATTCAAGCGTGAGGTCGTGAGTTCGGCAAAGGTGGAGAAGGTGGGAGTGGAACAGCAAATGCCTTTGTGCTCCTCGACCAGCACCGAAACACAACTCCCCTGAGACCTCCTATCGTCTTCTCCTTAACGGTGACCTCTGGGGCTCCACTTACCATGTTGGTCTCCAGGAAGCAGCAGGAAACAACAAACCCTCAGTCTTTCAAAGCAGTAGCCATTCTCCTCTCTGACCTGACAAGACTAGATATCAAGTGGGCCCTGTGGGAGTTTGACAATTTGTCCAAACAACTGTTTTTAGTTGAAGCTGTAAATCTCTTGGGGAAAAAAAAATCTGTCTGCTTGGCCATTCAGTCAGTCGGCCAGTCTTGGATTAGTCTGACCATCTTCTCAGGAAAGAATGTCCTTGGGGATTTTCAGATGAGTGAATATTCAATGTTCTGTCTTTTAGCATTGTCGCCCCCTTCCCGGCCCCTTTGTATAACACTCATAGAGGGTTGGCTCCTGGGCCCCCAGGAGAACCAAGGAGGATAGTTTTAATCCCTTGGCAGAGACTTAACTCTGCTCTCCTCATTCGAAACCTCCCTGCAGGGCTGTTTGAGCTTCACTTAGAAATGGGCTTTATTTGCCAGAAAAGGGGAATTCTTTTCATGACAATAAGGAAAATGTAATCCCTCATTGGGGGGTTGGAGGCCTTTTCTTCTCCTCAGAGGCTGGTGGGCGGCTGCCCTCTCTGTCTTTCCTGTACCTCCCAGACCTAACACTGGGGTGGAGGGGATTCCCCTAGAGGGATACTGGCAACCAGTAACTGGGGATGGAATTCCAGTACTTCCCTGCTGGGTGTCTCAATGCAGGTTGTTTGGTTTTGCCCAGCTTTGTTCCTTCATCTGTAAAAAGGAAGACAACAATACCGTTGGACTGCGTTGCTGAGAACGTTACAAGAGGGAGTTAAAAGTGAATAGCATACAATAGATATTTGGTAAATGTTGGGCCATTCCTTCTTCCTTCCTTTCTCCTCAGAATTTATTCCTGGACATCACCTGGACATACTTTCCCCAAAGCAAAGATTTCCTCTGTGACCTTCTGCAGTGGTTTTCCTCTGGGCGTTCTCCGGCGTCTGTGCCCTGCTCCGTGCACCGTGAGGCGGAGCCTACCGACTACTACCCAGGCCTCCGTGTCAGCTGACTTCTGTTTGAGGACGGTTAATGGGGAGCATGGGCGGGAGTGAGGAGGTCACGGGGGAGAGAAGTCGCGCTATTTCTTCCCAGCTCCCTCCCTGCCTTGGATCCAGGCTCTGAAGTGGCTCTATCCCTCCAAGACTAAGGCCCCGGCCAGACTGCCCCTCCCCCCAGGCTCAGATTTCCTTGGGCTCCGTTACAGTTACACCTTTCCCTGTGCCATTAGTCCTGGGCGTGGAAACAGCTTTCTTCGGTTGTGAGGTTTCTGGGTGTGTTTCCATGTCTCTTATTAGTTTTGCCCACATCTCTTGAGTGCCTTAAAGCCTCTTCTGGTGAACTCTCTGCATTGTAATTGTTTCCTGCAGGCATACAAACAGAGGTTATCCACCCTCTACCTGAATACTAGGAACCAGAGCTCAGAATTTGTCTTTTTTCACATCCATTTCATTTCATTTCATTTTTTTGAGTTTTTTTTTTATTTTACATTTATTTAGAGAGACAGAGTGAGTCAGAGCATGAGTGGGGGAGGGGCAGAGAGGGAGACACAGAATCCGAAGCAGGCTCCAGGCTCTGAGTTGTCAGCACAGAGTTTGATGCGGGGCTCGAACCCACGAACAGTGAGGTCATGACCTGAGCCAAAGTCAGACACTCAACCGACTGAGCCACCCAGGTGTCCCTTTCACATCCATTTCAAAAAGAATGCTGTACTTGAAGACGGAGCTCATGTTTAGGGTGCATTTGCTGCACCCTGAGTGCTTTGTACATTTCATCACACTCATTCCCCACGATGATTTTGTAAGAAGGTTGTACTGCCCACATTTTGCAGAGGATGGACATGAAACTCAGGGAAGTTTTGCAACGTGCCCTGAATCCTAATAGGTGGCGCAGGACACTGTTGGCTTAATTAAGTTGGCCTGATTCCAGCATTTTTTTCTCGCCATTACACCTGCCTGTAACAGGGAAGAGTTCCAAGAAAGGAAAACTGGAAAATGGGAACATTTGCCTCGCATTTCGCAATTTCACCGAAGACTAGCCTTAGAGAACCCTTTATGTTGTTCACAAAAACTTCCTTTGAAGGGTACAGACTCTTGTGAGGTGGTTGAGTGACACCATGAGCCACTAGATGGCACCAGTTCAACGTTGGGTAAAGCTTTTCTCCCTCATTTTTGTGGGCAAAGGGTGCGGGTAACAAGTTCTTCTGTTTACCTTGACAAGTAAATATGACTTTGATCTAATGACCTCTGTATTTTCTCCAAACTGGGCTGACTTAAGTTTTTCAGAGGCAAGGCTCTGAACCGGCGGAGAGTGGGGTTCGAGGTATGGGGGGAGGGGTATGGGAATGTGAGGACAGAATGATGAAGGCTCAGCCTCAGGGAAACCTGGCAGCATAGAGGGAAACAGTACTGACCTATGATACCGAACCAAGTAAAACTCACTCAAAAACCATTAGACCATTAGAGCTGGAAGGGTCTGGTGAGATCTTCCAGCCCAAGCCTTTAATTATGCAGATGAAGAAACATTCTGTTGTTTTCTGTGTAACAGAAAGTGATCCCCAACTTACCCACTGGCGCTAATGAAAAGTACTGTCCCAACATTTCTTGCCTTGTGGCCTTCCGGGTGGCTGGGGCCTTTTGTAAGGCAACTAGATAAAGGGTGCGGCTTTGGCTTTTGCTCCCCTTTGTTTCCGACGGGGATTTCTTTCTGTCTCCATGACATTCTTTAGACAAAGTTTTCAGTTTTTTCTTTCTTTCTTCCTTTTTTATTCCTTCCTTCCTTCTTAAAAATGTTTATTTATTTTTTGAGGTGGGGGGAGAGAAAGAGAGATCGATCTTTTGTGGGAGAGGGGTAGAGAGGATCCAATGTGTGCTCTGTGCTGACAGCAGAGAGCCCCATTTGGGGCTCAAACTCACAAACCATGAGATCATGACCTAAGCCTAAAAGAGGAGTCAGAGGTTTAACCGACTGAGCTACGCAGGTGCCCCAGTTTTTTCTTCTTTAATTATTATTTAAAATTTAAAAACAGGGAACACATTCATCTGGCTCAAAAAATCAAAACAATATAAAAAACATCTAATAAAAAAATCTCATTCCTATCCCTTTCCCTATCTGTCTCATTCATCCCACCTCTCAGCCCACAGGTAATCACCATTAAAAAAAATTTTTTTTATGTTTATTTTATTTTTGAGAGAAAGAGAAAGAAGGAACATGGGGAAGGGGCAGAGAGAGAGGGAAACACAGAATCTGAAGCAGACTCCAGGCTCTGAGCTGTCAGCACAGAGCTTGAAGCAAGGCTCGAACTTACAAACCGCAAGATCATGACCTGAGCCAAACTCGGTGCTCAACAGACTGAGCCACCCAGGCGCCCTGGGAACCACCATTTTTATTATGACTTGGGTGTTCTTTAGGCAAACACAACTGAGCGTAAATAAAGAAAGATATATTTATTTATTTGCAGGAAATCATTCTCCATTGGTGGTAAATTCTCTTTCATTCTCACTTGCCCTCAGTGGTGATATCTGTAGTGGCCACATTTTTTTTTTTAATGGAATAAGAAGTAGAATCACAGGGCCTGGTAAGTATCAGAAAAGTGTGTCTGGATGGTGTTCCTGTTCTGGAAAATGTGGAAGCTATTGTCACTGAAACTTGTCCAGAGCTCCTTATCTTTTCCCAGGTCCCTGGGGCCCCCTTTCACTCCCAGAGTTTGTCTCTTACTTCCTGAGCCGTGCAAGAGACCCTGTGTCTGTCTAGCCTCCTCACTTTAAAAAAAAATTTTTTTTTAACATTTTTGATTTTTTTGAGAGACAGAGCATGAGTGGGCGAGGGGCAGAGAGAGAGGGAGACACAGAATGCAAAGCAGGCTCCAGGCTCTGAGCTGTCAGCACAGAGCCTGATGTGGGGCTTGAACCCACAACCATTAGATCATGACCTGAGCTGAAGCTGGCCACTTAACCGACTGAGCCACCCAGGCGCCCCAGCCTTCTCACTTTGGAGGAGCTCCCCGACCCTTCCCAAGGATGCTCCTCCCACTGGGGCACACACTCTCTGCACCTGCCAGGCTCCCCGTCCTCAGGGCCCCCACTCAGTCCTTGCTCAGCCAAATGCGGGGCTCCCACTCTGCTTTTAGACATCCCCACCTTCTCCTTCTCTTTCTTCAACTCTTTACAGTCCCATTCTTGCCCCCTTTGCTATGAAAGTTCTCGAAAGACTAGCTCACTGAGATTTCCTCACCGTGTAGTTCAGTTTGCTAGAATTTAGTCAGCACCTACAGGGAGGAATAGTCAAAGGCTCTTAAGCTCAGGCCTAATTTAGTGAAATCCAGGGGTTCTGTGCACCAATACAGGCATGGTCCAACCTGAGTGGGGACTTGATATTTCTGGCTATGACGATGACAGTCACAGCCTATTGAGCCCTCCAGGTGCTGGAGCATGCCATATTAAAATGCAGACACTGGGACACCTGGGTGGCTCAGTCGGTTAAGCGTCCAACTTCGGCTCAGGTCATGATCTCTTAGTTCGTGGGTTCGAGCCCTGCATTGGGTTCTGTGCTGACAGCTCAGACCCTGGAGGCTGTTTCAGATTCTGTGTCTCCCTCTCTCTCTGGCCCTCCCCTGCTCATGCTGTCTCTCTCTCTCAGAAATAAATTTAACAAAAAATCAAAAAATGTTTTAAAAAATGAAGACACTGCCTCCTTAGACAGGGCCCCTGGGGTGGGTTTGCTCCCCCTTCTTTAGTCCTCTCCCTGTGCCACGTGTATGGATGCCATCCCCCTAGGAAGCCCTCCCAGACAGGGCCTTTCCAGATCTGCCCTTCCCAGGTGGCGCTGCGTGCTCCAAATGGCCCTCCCACGTCAAAAACCAAGCTGTGCCCTTTCCCTCAGAGTCCTGTGTTTGCTTCCCAGGGTGGCAGCTTGCTCATGTGAAGATAATATATTTCCCTGAGGGGCCTGTCCCAGCTCAGTAACAGGTGCATTTTACTAATTTATTAAAAGAACTTTTAAAAAAATGTTTATTTATTTTTGAGAGAGAGGGAGAGACAGAGCCTGAGCAGGGGAGGGGCAGAGAGAGAGGGAGACACAGAGTCTGGAGCAGGCTCCAGGCTCTGAGCTGTCAGCACAGAGCCCGACACAGGGCTCGAACCTGTGAACCATGAGATCATGATCTAAGCCGAAGTCGGAAGCTCAACCAACTGAGCCACCCAGGCACCCCCGGGTGCATTTTAATAGAGGTCTGGAAGAATGCCGGGGTGGCTCAGTCAGTTAAGCCTCCGACTCAGGTCATGATCTCACCGCTCATGGGGTCGAGTGTCCCGTTGGGCTCTGTGCTGACACTGTGCTGACAGCTTAGAGCCTGGATCCTGCTTGTAATTCCGTGTGTGCCTCTCTCTCTCTGCCCCTCCCTTGTTCACACACTCTCTCTCAAAAATAAATAAAACATTAAAAATAAAAAATTTTAATAGATATCTGGAAAGGCAATTCTTTAACGTGAAGGATTCTAGGTCACAAGCATGTTCTGAAGATTACCAAGGAAGTAGAAAAACTCTTAGGAGGATAGAATGATGGATAGAGATATTGGTATTGGTGAAATATTATAATATTTCTAGTGCTGTGTAACAACATCTCAAACTTAGTGGCTTAAAAATTTTTTAATGCTTATTTTTGAGAAAGAGAGACAGAGTGTGAGCAGGGGAGGGGCAGAGAGAGGGAGACACAGAACCCGAAACAGGCTCCAGGTCTGACGCTGGGCTCCAGGCTTGACGTGGGGCCTGAACTCACCAGCCACGAGATTGTGACCTGAGCCAAAGTCAGATGCTTAACCTACTGAGCCACCCAGGTGCCCCATCAAACTTAGTGGTTTAAAATAACACATGTATTATCTTACAGTTTTCTGTGTTCCCGCATCCACGCAAGGTTGCATTCTTTGTAAGACTGTAATCAAGTTCTGGGTTCTCATCTGAAGGCTTGATTGGGAGAGGATCTGCCAAGTTCAGCTGGTAGTTGGTAAGGTTCAGGCCTTTGCTGGCTGTCAGACTGAGGGCTTCAATTTCTCACTGGCTATCACCTGGAGGCCATCATTAATTCCTCGTTAGTTGTTGGCCAGAGGCT